ATACTTGCCACATATGATGGAACAATGGAGGCAAAAGAGCAGGTCTTGTTCTACTTCCCTGTAGGGTTAGCATCTTTACTCAGGGAAGCATTAGGAGCAGAAAGACCACTTACTATACTGAAGAATAATTCTCTTTTTGACCCACTGAGGAAGAGGTGCCTAATAAAAATATATGATCACAGACAATCTGAACTGGGTGTGAAGATAACTGTCTGATCAGATAATGGAATTGTTTTCAGTGGTAAGAATGAATCCATTACTAATGCAAATAACGCTAATGATTATAATTTGCAATACAGTAAAAGTCACCTAGTCTACCTCCTCCTCTGACAGGAGACTATAATAAATTATAGGCTGAGAAAAAAATCAACGGGCTAAAGGTTAAAAGATTAAAAAAAAGAACTGAAATTTAAATGTTTAACAAGGAAATCAAAGATATGAAAGCAGAGTGGAGCTATTAAATTATGCCATTGTAAAGAATTAGATATTATAGAATTGATTAGCAAATCTAAATCCAAACTTTCCCCATATAACCCATTGGGTCACAGATTTTGACACATTTGACAGAACAAATTGTCAAGGTTCAATATATAATGTGCAAGCTAATTATCTATAATACAGATAAGGCTTCCTTACCAAATGGGGATACCAAAGCCTTGCAAAGGGCAATGGAGTCGAAGAAAGCTGGGAAATGGGGATGCTTAGAGCTTTTGACAAGAAAGCATATGATTTCCCTCCCCCCCCCCCCCGACACACCCATCAACTCTGAATACAATAAGGTTTAAATGATTGGCTCTAACCCAATCTGTTGGTATATTTTGCCCCCTCCTCCTCTTTTTTCTAAGGTTGTGTTTTCCAAAAGGTAGGGTTTCCATAAAGCAGCACAAAGCATGTGCCATGGTGGGGAGGAGTGTGGAAGGTATATAAATGAAGATATGTGGGGTTGGTTAAAGGACGTGATTGCTTTCATTTTCGTGAAGCGGGACTCGGCTTCCAAAAGTTTGGGATATGCTGTTTCAAACTACATTTTAAATCCTGTTTGTGTAGCCAAGTGTGCCTTGCCCTTCCCAGCGGGTCACTCTGGAACTTACTTATTCCTTTCACTCTTTGGCATTTTTCTTTCCAGTACTTTTCACTTCAACCCAAAAACTCAATACCCTTGTTTCAGTAAAACCGAAGAACTGAATTATGATGAAGCACTGCCAGCAATTATGCTAGAGAGTATTAGGGGAAATGCTTTAGCAATACTGATCTAGATGATTTCATAACTACTGAACCACACTGTGGTTTATAACCATACTTTCATATTTACCTCACAAGTGCACTGCACGTCTCAGATAACATAGCATTAAGTTTCAGAGTAGCAGCCGTGTTAGTCTGTATCCGCAAAAAGAAGAACAGGAGTACTTGTGGCACCTTAGAGACTAACAAATTTATTAGAGCATAAGCTTTCGTGGACTA